TATTACTGTTACAACTACTAGACGGAAACTGGGGTTGTTTTTCTAGTCCTCTAAAATTGCTTAACAAAAATAAGATTTTTTTTTAATGAGACTGTTATATGAACATGAATGTGTACATGTTACTGTTTATTAGACTGAAAAAGATGGTATTCCATTGTTTTGGGCTTGTAGTTCTGTTGCTGAAAGAAAATCAGAGTTTTAAATGAATATGAAATTTAACATGGAAAATTTACCATTCAATGCAAATCTGGCGTATCAAAAATTATATATATGTAATATAACCTAATGGATAAAGCATCTCTACCAATTTGTTGCCTCGAAAATTCCCAATTTTAGTTGTAAAAGGTGGGCCTGATTCTGCTACTTAGAGAGAGAAAGTAAGGTGAGAGAGATACAAATATCCGGTTTGTGGCTGTCCTCTGCTGGCACCCAAAAACCGGACCAAATTGTCACCACTTCCCCCGATCACGTGTTAACCCCACCTTCCTCCTTTTCAGTTCCCATTTTGTCCTTTCTTTTCTTCTTTTTTAAACTTTTCCACATTTTTTCGTCTTTCCCTTTCCACAGTGAAATTACTGTGGTACCCTACAATGTGTTTTATGTTTTTTTTTCTTCAATTTCATATTAATTGGACAAGGACTTAGAGAAAAATATACACTACACTTTATATATATATATATATTTGTATATATAAGGTAACTATGGAAGTTGCAACTTTCATCAACTTACAAGGTTCTTCAATCATGGACCATCTTGACTTTAGGCCTTTGAGCCTTTAAATGATAAAAAAAAAAAAAAAAAAAAAAAAAAAAAAAAAAAAAAAATTTCATGAATATGATTTTTAGAATTACTATATTAATTAATGTAGTACAACTTATTTTTTTAATAATACTTTGGAAGTCGGTTGGATATGTTTGTAGTGTCAATATATTAATTGGGGACTACTCCTATTAATAATGTATTGATACTACAAATATAAAAGTCACTGTAATTCTTTCTATTTTGAGCACACCACCCATCAAAAATTATAGATCAAATTAATTATTCTGTCCAAATAGTAGGCCAGGTTTGAGTTGAATATCCCAGTCTAACTTGGTAATATTCAACCTAAGATATTTGTAATTAAAAAAGTAATAGTAGTGTGTCTATATATATATATATACACATATATATTTATTTATTTACATTCAACTTATATTTGTAATTTTAAAAGCAAACTTCTAGAATTTCTGTAACTCCCCATGCGTGCACACACACATGCTATGAAGATTAATTAGTCCGTTTTATCAAGAATTCACATTTTTCACCGTCCTCATCTATGCTTTTGTCATTGGGCATTCTCTCAGTATATACAAATGTTTGTACACATGATAAATCTGACTAGGACGAAATAGATGTAGATTTTGTAATCAACTTTCATTTAAATCTAATTGATTATTTAAATCGAATCTAGGACTTTAAAAGGTTAATTTTAATTAATTACAGACAATCTCGACTCCTTTGAAATTTCATGCATAATTGAATATTCAATCAATTTTTACATTATATGAAATACCATGCATTATCGTGTAAACCAACGTAATAAATTATTGTCTGTAAATCATAGGAATAGTGTTTCTTACTTTATTTTTAAAAAATCCAATTTCAGATTTTTTTTTTTTTTGCTTTCTTTAAATATGCAATCCATGCCTTAATTTAATAGCTACTATTAAATTCCAGAATCATCCATATATGTGGGTGTTAAGGCTAATGTTTTAGCGGCTCGAGCCAAATTTCTCTCACTCGTGTGTAGGGTAAGCGTTCCGTACAACATCACTCGTCTTTTTGCGCTCTGCCTATATATTGAGAGACAAATTGTTACAGTAACAGCTAACACCTCTCATTACTTTTGAAAATTACCATTTTGCCCATTCTTGTGTCAAACTATACCTTTATTTACATTTGACTTGCTATCTTATCTTATTTATATATGTGTATATATATTATGGACTGAACGAACAACTTCGTTAGTATGATAAATTTTTTGGTTATTATCCATATTAGATTAATTATTACTAATCAATTAAATACAATAATGTCATATTGATACTGTTGATAATGACAATGGTTCAGATGCAAATAACTTGCTTGCCTTGAAGTACAGTTAAGTACTTAAAATATGGGAAGAAGAATAATGTTTAAGTCATTTGAGATGCTTATTAAAAAAAATTAATGTCTGTAAATGCTTATTTTACACAAATAAAATTAGCCTTAATTATATCAATGAAAAATATTGATCGGTACTTAATTAAGAGGCATGTGATTTTCTGATGCCACGCAGCAAGCATTTTTAACTCTTCAGTAAAAGAAAAACAAAGGGACAATTTGTACTTTTAGAGAGAGAACAGATTGGAAGGGAGGGTGTGGAGTAAAAAAATTTAGGGTTTGAAAATAGTGGAATGCCTTAAAAAAGTGAGAAAGAAATGAGAGAGAATGGCAAATGTGCATATATATATATAGAGAGAGAGAGAGAGAGAGAGAGAGAGAGAGAGCTGATATAGGGGTTGGGACCATTGTAAGGCTACGCTCTCAGTAAAATAAACAAATCGGTGTAAGGGCTGTGTGTGTGAGAAAAGAGCTCTCTCTCACTTGGCAAAATAGCTCTTATATGCGTGAACCAGTACATGATACTCATAGTCTAGTGACCACACAGTACAGCTATAGCTCAGTGAAAGTTTGGCAGTGGTATCATTATTGTAACGAAGAGGCAGGTGAGAGATTAAAGAGGTTATTTCCTTGATAAGAGCCAAACATGCTTTTGCTATGGCCAAAATACATAGACGAACAAATGGAAACAAGTTAGTGAAATTGAACCACATGGTGTAGCTATACTCTATGGAATTTTCTAACAAATTAGATCCATATTCAACCTCTTTAGATTTGAATTCAAAATTAAAATGAAAACTAATTAAAAATGATTTTTATATTAGATTCTTAGTTCAAACCTTTTTCATTTCAAGTCCTAATTTTTTAAAGTAAATTTAAGTATTAAAATAATGATAGTAGTGCTACAAAATAATACTTCTACCACTCCATTCTGTTTAATATTTAGGTCCAATAAGTTTTTTTTTTTTTTTTTTTTTTTTTTTTGGTTAAAAGGTAAGCTTAGGTTCAATAAGTTGAGTTGTAAAAGATCGAGTTTTTTGGAGCCCCAATTCAACACTCAAGTAGAGAAAAAAAGAAAAAGAAAAAAAATAGACAATTAATCAAAACATACATTAAACGACTGAAGCAGTAAGAGATATATATTTGCTTAGGAGTGAGGATAGAGAGAGAGAGAGGAGAGAGATATAGAAATCGAGTTTTCGGTTTACACAAATATAGAAATAAGGGAGTTGACTTAATATATAGAAAAGCAAAATTGCTCTCTAATAAATTTGAATTGTCAACTAGAAGAAATTTCTGGAATAGAATATATCAGTCGTTAAAAAACATGTTTTTTCTATTGTACAGAAGCTTCTAGATCCAAACCGTTGAATAACATGGTAATAAATAAATCCAGCTGTTAGGTTTTCAATATAAAACATCCACACCATTGAATGTTTACTATCACCTTTTTAGCTGATACATTTTAGATAGAGAGCCATTGGATATAAATCTAATACATCTTAGCCATTGATGACCAAAATTTATTTTTTTTATTTTACTAAAATCAGACATTAGTGACGACATGGCACGGTGTCAAAATTCCATCTATATATCTGCAAAGAAAAAAATAAATAAATTAAAAAAAGCCATGACTTACTGGAGACTTGACCAGAAATCATTCGCACCAAAACTCCTCCTCTCTCAAGTTTTCTTTCTTCCAAAACAAAAACACAATATTCTTTATAAATTAAGTTAAAAAATGAAGCAATGGTTCTAAAGATACATATTAATTAAAAATAATAACAAATTAAAATCAATTATAAATTATAAAAAATATCATATATTCTATTATCATATATTCTATATATATATATATGCACAGAGGAGCTATATTCAACTTTCCATTTGAGAAAAAGAGAGGGAGAGAGAGCAAGCTAATGTAGAAAAGAGAGAGAGGGCTGATGAAGAAGAATACTTTTTGTTTTTATTCTATTACCATAAATTGTTTTTCTTTTTCACTTTATAAAAATCGACTTGTTTGTCACAAATGGTAGAAATCTGGGATAACTACATCTCCATTTTTCGGCATTAACTAAAGAAGGAGATCAGCTTTAAACTGGTGTTCAGATATATTAGAATCAGACAACTAAAATTGTATAATTGACTATATATATATATATATATAGTGATTAGTTACAAAAGAAAGAGTTAATAGTCTCAAAATTTCATTTGATCTTTTTCATAATTGGTTCCTTTTTTTGTTAATTTTTTTTGGAAACACAAGTGTACCTGTTTGGTCTTGTTTTCTGACACAAGAAGAAAGAAGAGTATGGTATTACTGTATTTGTGATATGTCAATTCACAATAATATATACACAAGATGAATCTGTTTTTCCTACTCTTTGTCAACCCTACTTTCTATACCAGCCATCATCTTCCCCCACTTTTCCCACCGACGCAAAATCAAAAGACATTAATATGTTGAGACTAGTGTTCAAAGATGTTAGAATCAACTAAAATGGTATAATTGACTATATATATATATATATATATATATATTATGTACTTCTTCCGTCCTATATTAATTATTAATTTTAAAAATTTTGACTCACAAACATTGAAATAGACCTCTAGTATAGAATATAGACAGTATATAAAAAGGGCGATGGTAAGCATTCAACGGTGTGAATGTTTTATATTGAAAAACTAACGGCTGAATTTTTTTCCTTTTTACCATGTTATTCAACGGTTGAGATCTAGAAGCTTATGTGGTATGCTTTTAAACGGCCAATATCTTCTATTCTAGAAGTTTCTCCTAAATGGATGATTCAGATTTACTATAAAGCAATTTTGCTTTTCTATATATTAAATGAACTCCCCTATTTCTATGGTTGTGTAAACCTGAAAACCCTAGATCTGTATCTCTCTCCTCTCTCTCTCTTACTCTCTTTACTCCATCAACATACACTACAGTAGGAAACTTAAGAGCAGAACATAAACCCAAATATGAGGAAGATTACAAAACCCAGCAACTAAGGAGAACTCAATCGTCATTAGAATCATCAGGTTGGAGTATTAGTAGGTGGAGATTCAGGGGCTTTCGGTTTTTCCATTTCCATTTGCGGCTTTTCCATTGCCCGGAGACTTCCCATTGTCGTTCGGAGCTGCTTTTCCATCGCCCTGAGCTTTGCCATTGGATCCATTCTCCTTCTTGTGAATCGAAGATACTTTGCCATTTAATCCGATTTTTTCCACTATTAAGTAATAGTGCGAAAAATAAGGTTTGGCTAAACTCAACCCTTTGCCTTAGGATTACTTAGTTGCATGCGTTTGGTACTCAATTTGAGATTTTAGTTGTGAATATATTTAAGACTTAATTTAATTAATTGCAAGTGATGGGTTGAATTATTGTTGTTAATTTTGCATTCTTCCTTGTACTATTATTATAGGGGATGTGAAATTCTTGGTCTCGAGGTCTCATTTGATGAACATGCTCTTGTTCGGCTGATGATGAGCGTATGTATCATGAGTTTTCACTCTGTCTATACACAAAACTGGAATGGTGTATTCTCATCCTCAAGTAGAAGACAGAATTCTTGGTGTTGTGTGTGTCTATCTATATATATATATAACCTTAAGACAGAATTCTTGGTGTTGCTAACACACTTGAAACTGTTCTGAATCAGGTGGTCGCTGACCAGAAAGCTCTAAAGGAATCTCTTGGTGTCAAAGTATCTTCGATTCATAAGAAGGAGAATGGATCTAATGGCAAAGCTAAGATGGAAAAACAGCTCCGAACGGCAATGGAAAAGCCGCAAATGGATATGGAAATGGAAATGTAAAACCGAAAGCCCCTGAATCTCCACCTACTGATACTCCACCTGATGATTCCGATGACGATTGAGTTCTCCTTTGTTGTTGGGTTTTGCAGTCTTATATTTGGGTTTATGTTCTTCTTTCTTATCAATTTTTTTATTTTTGTTTTGGGTTTGTTAATGTTATCCATTAGTTTTTCTGTTTTGTTCTGGGTTTTCGTCCTCTGCTCCTATGTTGCCTACTGTTGTGTAGGTTGATGGACAATTATGTTTTCTTTTAGATATTTTAATGAATCGTCTAATCCCTCTTTAACTTCTGATTTTCTCTCTTTTACAGTAATGAATTATCTATACGTATATGTGAGTGTGTGTGTATATATATATATATATATATATTCACGTCACTGTTACAACTATTAGACTGAAACTGGGGTTGTTTTTCTAGTCCACTGAAATTGCTTAACAAAAATAAGATTTTTTTTTATGAGACTGTTATATGTACATGAACAGGGACGGACCCAGCAGGGGACTAGGGGGGGCAGATGCCCCCCCTGAATTTTTAATATTTTCATTTTATACCCTAATGTTTTTAAAATTTATGAAAATGCCCCCCCTAAAATTACAATTCGCCCCCACTGGATTCTTTTTTTTTTAGCATTTTATACTTCAAATTTTGATAATTTATGAAGATGCCCCACTATAATTATAATTTGCCCCACTGATTTTTTTTTTTTCATTTTATACTTAATTTTTTTTTAAATTTATGAAAAAAACCCTACTAAAATTACAAAAATAAACCCATCATATAATTTTGTACCCACAAATTAAAAATTCGCCCCCCCTCACCAAATTTTCTGAGTCCGTCACTGTACATGAATGTGTACATGTTACTGTTTATTAGACTGAAAAAGATGGTATTCCATTGTTTTGGGCTTGTAGTTCTGTTGCTGAAACAAAATCAGAGTTTTAAATGAATATGAAATTTAACATGGAAAATTTACCATTCAATGCAAATCTGGCGTATCAAAAATTATATATATGTAATATAACCTAATGGATAAAGCATCTCAACCAATTTGATGCCTCGAAAATTCCCAATTTTAGTTGTAAAAGGTGGGCCTGATTCTGCCACTTAGAGAGAGAGAGAGTAAGGTGAGAGAGAGACAAATATCCGGTTTGTGGCTGTCCTCTGCTGGCACCCAAAAACGGGACCAAATTGTCACCACTTCCCCCGATCACGTGTTAACCCCACCTTCCTCCTTTTCAGTTCCAATTTTGTCCTTTCTTTTCTTCTTTTTTAAACTTTTCCACATCTTTTCGTCTTTCCCTTTCCACAGTGAAATTACAGTGGTACCCTACAATGTGTTTGATTTTTTTTTTTCTTCAATTTCATATTAATTGGACAAGGACTTAGAGAAAAATATAAATATACACTACACTTTATATATATATTTGTATATATATATATATATATATGTATATATAAGGTAACTATGGAAGTTGCAACTTTCATCAACTTACAAGGTTCTTCAATCATGGACCATCTTGACTTTAGGCCTTTGAGCTTTTGAATGACTAAAAAAAAAAAAATTCATGAATATGATTTTTAGAATTACTATATTAATTAATGTAGTACAACTTATTTTTTTAATAATTCTCCAGCTTTGAAGAACTTTGGAAGTCGGTTGGATATGTTTGTAGTGTCAATATATTAATTGGGGACTACTCCTATTAATAATGTATTGATACTACAAATATAAAAGTCACTGTAATTCTTTCTATTTTGAGCACACCACCCATCAAAAATTATAGATCAAATTAATTATTCCGTCCAAATAGTAGGCCAGGTTTGAGTTGAATATCCCGGTCTAACTTGGTAATATTCAACCTAAGATATTTGTAATTTAAAAAGTAATAGTAGTGTGTCTATATATATATATATATTTATTTACATTCAACTTATATTTGTAATTTTAAAAGCAAACTTCTAGAATGACCTCTTTCTGTAACTCCCCATGGCGTGCACACACACATGCTATGAAGATTAATTAGTTCGTTTTATCAAGAATTCACATTTTTCACCGTTCTCATCTATGCTTTTGTCATTGGGCATTCTCTCAGTATATATAAATGTTTGTACACATGATAAATCTGACTAGGACGAAATGGATGTAGATTTTGTAATCAACTTCCATTTAAATCTAATTGATTATTTAAATCGAATCTAGGACTTTGAAAGGTTAATTTTAATTAATTACAGACAATCTCGACTCTTTTGAAATTTCATGCATAATTGGATATTCAATCAATTTTTACATTATATGAAATACCATGCATTATCGTGTAAACCAACGTAATAAATTATTGTCTGTAAATCATAGGAATAGTGTTTCTTACTTTATTTTTAAAAATCCAATTTCAGATTTTTTTTTTTCCTTTCTTTAAATATAAAAGCCATGCCTTAATTTAATAGCTACTATTAAATTCCAGAATCATCCATACATGTGTGTGTTAAGGCTCATGTTTCCGCGGCTCGAGCCAAATTTCTCTCACTCATGTGTAAGGTAAGCGTTCCGTACAACATCACTCGTCTTTTTGCGCTCTGCCTATATATATAGAGACAAATTGTTACAGTAACAGCTAACGCCTCTCGTTACTTTTGAAAATTATCATTTTGCCCATTCTTGTGTCAAACTATACCCTTACATTTGACTTGCTATCTTATCTTATTCATATATGTGTATATATATTATGGACTGAACGAACAACTTCGTTAGTATGATAAATTTTTTGGTTATTATCCATATTAGATTAATTATTACTAATCAATTAACTACAATAATGTCATATTGATACGGTTGATAATGACAATGGTTTAGATGCAAATAACTTGCTTGCCTTGAAGTACAGTTAAGTACTTAAAATATGGGAAGAAGAATAATGTTTAAGTCATTTGAGATGCTTATTAAAAAAAATTAATGTCTGTAAATGCTTATTTTAAACAAATAAAATTAGCCTTAATTAAATCAATGAAAAATATTGATCGGTACTTAACAACTATACTAAAACATATTATTAGTCTATTATAATGGGTGCACACTTGTTAATTTATTCAAAAATTTGAACTATTGAGTAGTATTGTATACCTATCAATTTTAGTTTCTATATGAATCCGATGTGGACAAGTTTTGTAACATTGTTTTCCATCCGAACTTGCAACGGCCTCGTTGCGATCGGACCATTCGGGATTAAGGATTGGGTCTGACTTTAGTATTAATTGTAACGGGTAGGCGCTTGCCCATTTAATCAAAATCTTAAACTATTAGGTAACACTGCATACTTACTCATCTATACCAATTTCACTTCGCATCTGAATTCAAGTGGAACAAGTCTCCCCTTGTAACAACTATCCACTAAATTATAAATGATAGATTACAAATATTGTCAATTTTGTTTTAATTATATTAATAATACCTTTCTTTATGCAAAATCAATTTGGCAGCCAAAAGAAAGGTATTGTCCTAGACATTGATCATCTTTCATATGATGTTATATACTTAATTTATTCAGTATACTCAAAAATTGCATGCATTCAATTCTCAAATGATTTACATTATCAAATAATAAAGGAGTACATAAATTATTTGTGTGCTCCTATTTCATTAACAATTTATAAACCCTTATAATCATGCAATTGTCATGATTAATGGTTGATTTAAACTCTCATAATCATGAAATAATAAGGGTACTTTTGATAACATGGTTTATAATTTCTTTCATTTCTTTATTATTATTTATTTTTAAGACAAAAATATTAGATTAGAAGTTTAAGGTGTAAAATTTTCAAAGATAACGAATAAGTAACTCAATCGCTGAGTTACGAAGATTTTCACAACTTCTTTCATTCCAATCAATGACAATTGTGTAATCTAAACAAGTAAGTACTCATGCTATTGATAACTGCCACACAATAGCAATATGATCAAAATGGTGTATACATTTAATTAATTTTAGATTTAAATTATAAGCAAATAAGTAAAAATAATAAAAATATTAATTTTGGTTCACAAATTGTGTTCTTAACCAAAGATAAGTTGCCTAATTACAGTAATGAAATTTATTAAACATGGGCACTCTTGGAGTTGTACTCTTGTGCATTGAGTACAATCACAATGTGCCAATTTCTATTTCCGTCCAGTAGTTTGGTCTGACCAATTTGTTATTGTTAAATATAGAAATAGGTGGATTGAAAATATTTGACATCTAAAAAAAATTAAAGGACAAAAAATAAAATTATTAAATTAAGAATTTATCAGTAAGCTTGCATATATGTAATCTATAATTTGTAAAATTGAAACGTGATAAGAACAAATATGATATTAATACAATATTGGAGTTTTATTAGTGAGTGTTGACATTACAATTTTATATACTAAGAAAAAACCCGTGTTTTGCACGTAGGTAAAAATATATGATAAGTATATATAGCATAAAAAATATAGTAATATTATTATTTTTTTGGTTACAAATAGGGCTGCAAATGAACCGAGCCGTTCATGAATAGTTCAGGCTCGGCTCGCTAAAAGCTCGGTTCGAACTCGTTCGTTTAGTAAATGAGCCGAGTTTGAGCTCAATTTTTAGGCTTGTTTAGTAAACGAGCCGAACTTGAACAATGGTAAATTCGGTTCGTGAGCAGGCTCGTTTACATAAATAAATAAATAAATAAATAAATATAATACTAGTATAAATTATTATATTAAAACAACCCCATGTATACAATTCCAGCCCAATTTTACACACACACATATATATAAATTCATTAGCCCAATTGGCATTTGGGCATTCAGATGCTCCATTTTAGGGGTTTTTTTTTATTATCTCCAATTCAGTGTCTGCAACAGATGTTACAGCTGAGAGGTAATGTGCTTGAGTTACTTACCGAAGCATAACATTTTTGTGGTCTTTACATGGCACTTGACCTGTAGTTGTCTCAATTGTATTTGTTTCTTGTTACAACCTTATTAGTATTTCAAAATTTTGTCTGAATTTATCCGTTGCTGTGGTGTACCATTTGACATTTACTTTTGCGCAATATAAAACCATTGTTTGTCACTGTTTCAGGTTGTTTCTTAGATGCTCTTTTTATTTTTTATTTATTATATATATATATATATATATATATATATATGGTACTCGTTATTTTTTTCACTTTTACATGTCAATGTAGAATACAGAATGAGAGGAGACTGTTAACATTGCTATTCGGGTACACAACTCATAATTGAATGGTTTAGCAGTGATTCAGGAAATTTA